ACTGCAATACACGACAGTGAAAAGGGTATTGTGCAGATATGACAGTTCTGCATAATTCGCTGAAATGATAATGCAACATATCACCAACCCGCTTCCCAACATTTAACACCTTACTACTCACATAATTCCGCTATATTACGAAACTGACACCCTGAAAATCACTGGCATCGCAGTCCATTTGTGCTATAAGAAAATCCTCTGGCCTTCAGGTGTCTTCTCTTGCTTCTTACAGGCATTACGTAATAACTGACTTGCTGCTGTACGTTGTCTATGTACAGATACAGAGAAAGAAGCATCTTACTGCTATATCATTAATAAATAATGAATGCTGAAACCGTAGATATTGTTATTAAACTGAAGAGTCCAATAACCATCGCTATTCGTTACAACGTTTTCACGCGCTGGTAAGCGCCAAGCAAGCGGCAGAAGGGACAAGCGTAAATTTCAGCCAGTACGCTTTAAGCGGTCTCCAAGTGAGCCTCTGCGAAACCTATGACGAAACCGATTATATCAGTCGATAATACCAGAAACTATGACTTTCGGAACATCAAAGGCCTTGTTGAAACAACATAAATGCCAACGGTAACAACAAGGGTTTGGTGATTCAAGCAACATAAAATTTGTGTGTTTGCGAAGGAACCACGTGTGATCATGATGCTCATACCCACTTTTCTGTTGAAACATCATTTGCAATAGACCTACCACTACAAACAACGCTGCTTAAAAAAATTTAAGAGTATAAACTTCTGTTTTCAACGTATATCTAGGAGGAATCGCATACTAATGCGAGATACTCTGAAGTACTTCTTCAATTGTTCCTAGTTACCACGGTAACCATAACAGTTAGGCTTATAATGAACTGAGGACAGGGAGATCTGTACAGGTTTTACTTGTCAGCCCCGCTTATACACATCCCGGATGAGGACCACTTTTTGCGGCCGAATCTTCTGGAATAAACTAAAGAACATTCTATTTTGTCTTGCTTCCCCCAAAAATTTTTACTGAAAATTCTTTGACGATTAGTTCGACCTTCAGAGATCCGAGGTATCAGACCTAAATCTGTCTATCTGAAGAATAACAAGCAGTGAGCCGAAAAAT